CGGGAGCGTCTCGGCTCGCCCTGCACTGCGGCGTGCCCCAGGGCGTGCCGCCTTGCGAGGTGTGATGGGTGGCTGCGAGCCAGGACTGCGGTGCAGCCCCCGGCGCCCTGGAACTGGCCCTAGACCACCTGGGGCAAGGCTGGGCGGCCGCCCCTTTGTCACGGCCAGCAAGGCCCGCAGCCACGCCCCTGCACGTCCAGCAGGAAGACTGGCGGACACCGGCGCTGGCTGCGAGCAGAGTTCCGGGCTCGGTGTCCAGGCCCAGACGGGGGCTGACCGCTGACCAGGACCCTCAGAGGCTCCGGCCCGCCCGCCTGGCTCTGGAGCTCCCTCTGGTGGCGGCGCGCAGGGGCGCCAGGCAGGGCGGGAGGCCCCCACTCACCGGGTTGATTTGCTGGCACGTTGGCTGGGAGGGGGAACAGGGAGCGCCGGGCCGGGAGGCTGTCTTGATGACACCCCAGAAACCAGGCCTAGTGGGAAACGATTTCAAGTTGGAAAACACCCACCCGCGAAGAGATGGCAGCGGCATCTCAGACCCAGCGGAAGGGGGTGGACGTGGTTCTGGCCCCCCAATACAGAGGGCGGGGTCCTGACATCCCTCCAAGCGCAGGGCATGGCCCTGGACCCCCAAGCCGAGAGCGTGGTCCCGGTCCCCCATGCGGAGAGCGTGGTCCTAGCCCCCCCCGGGGCGGGCGTGGTCCTAGCGTCCCCCAGTGCGGGGGGCGTGGTCCTAGCGTCCCCCAGTGGGGGGGGCGTGGTCCTAGCGTCCCCCAGTGCAAGCGGGGCGTGGTCCTAGCGTCCCCCAGTGCGGGGGGCGTGGTTCCGCACTACGGACAGGACGCCGGAGGGAGGTTGGCGCGTTGGCAAAGCGCCCCTCGGTGTAGGCATCTGCCTGCGCGTAGCAAAGGCTGCAAAGGTTTCGTGACTGGACTGATGAAGGGGTCCGCAAGCAGGTAGGGGGCGCCTTGCAGCAGGCAGGCTGTGCCCCTCCTCGCCCAGAAGCCGCACTCAGGGAAGGGGCTGCCCGCGCAGCTCCATTTCCGGCACCATCAAAACTAGAATGTTTACGACTGGCCAGCACCAAGGAGGTGGACAGCCTCAGGTCATGGCTGGAAGAAGTCAGACGCGGGGAGTGGAGAGAGGCCGGCGCCCACTGTGAGCGCCTCGGGGCTTGGACGCAGCGCCTCGGGGAGCCCCTCCCGGAGCCCCTGTGCAGAAACGGACACGCAGAGACCCCGACAGCTGGAAGGGCGCAAGGAGTGCGCAGATTTCAGCACTCACTGCAGGACAGCGGCCAGGAGAGTGGCCGCCCCGCTTCTGGGAGACCCCGGGCAGCACCGGCGCCCTGGGGACGCTCGGCCCTCGGCCAGCTCCCGAGAGGATGCCGGACACCCGGTGGGGAGGGGGGTGTTTTTTCAAGGGGTGATCGGGGACAACTCGATGTCCACATGCCAAAGAACGAAGCCTGACCCCGGCCTGGTTCCAAGGCGAACGTGGGGTCTGGCGGCTCGGGGGCCTGAGACCCAAGGGGGACGAGGAGGAGAGCGGTGCGCGGGCCTGCCGCTGCCTCAGGTGCCAGCACGGGCACCGGCCACCAGGGACAGAAGGACGCAGAGAGCTCTGACGTGCGCCTCCACGCGGTGCCTGTGGGCTACGGGCCCCCAAGGCGGGCAGGGGGCACCTGTGATCACCAGGTTGGCATCCAGAGCACAGAGAGCACCTGTGTCCAGGGCCAGCGGCCGGGCAGCTCTGTAAAGCACGCAGGGACTCCAGTGGCCCGGAGGACGGCCGTGGCCAGCCGGCACCTGGAATGCGGTGGCCACTGCCAGTCTCTTGGGAGGCGCCGCCAGGGCTGGAGGGTGTGCGGCTGCCCCCGCACCGGCTGGGAGGCCAGTCGCACGGTGCGGCCCGGGGTGCCCCAGACGCCGTGCTCGGGGCGTGTCCGGGCAGGACACGGCGTGGGCCGCGGGCACCGTGGCGTGGACACGAGGCCGAGCGCCTCCCGGGGTGGCTGTGTGGCGGCAGGCGCCAGAGGAGCCGCAGGGGAGGTGGGCGGGGCACACCTGAGGCCCTGACCCCACACCTACAGGCGGCCGGGGGCAGCGGGCGGCACTCAGGAGGAGGAGCGGGGCAGCCGCTGCTCGACCCTGGCGGGGGTGGCACTGAGCCCACGGCCCAGGGGACAGGCCACGGGTGCTGAGGGGGTCAGCTGGCCCCCAGGGCGGGCATTCTGCTTTACGAGGTGCCTACTACGTGCCAGGGAACGTGCCAGCCCCCGTCGGGTTCCGACATCCAGGGTGAGGCCTCTTACTTGGTTTCAAACAGAGTCCCGGTCTCCCCCGCCGCTTAACGACCCCCAGTAATGAGCTTCTGGCCGCCATGTTGTTGAGAGCTTGACTCCTGGGCACAGAGCAGCGGTAACTGTAATTTCAGGGGAACCTTGACCATGTGTGTGTGTGGTGAGACTTCCTGCTCCTGACCCCCGCGTGCCAGCTGCTTGCGACCATGCGAGATGTTTTGCGTCACTAGCAAGAAAGAAAAAGAGGTGTTTCTCCCTAGAAAAAGCGGCGGTATTTCCCAGCCAAAGCTTGCTCTAGTGTGGGATTGTAGCCAGAGACCGCAGAAAGCAAACATGGAAATTTCCAGTAGTTCTACAGGAACGAGCCCGCACTTCCCACCCAGAGCAGTGGTCCTGTTCGTCC